GATTTCCCAAGGTGAAGCCCAGGCAGTGCCTCTCACCCCCCTCTGCTTGCCTGCAGGTGTGCGGATGGGCAGCCTGGGCCTCTTCCTGCAGTGCATCACCTCCATCTTCTTCTCGACAATCATGGACCGGCTGGTGAAGCAGTTTGGCACGCGGGCAGTGTACCTGGCCAGCGTGGTCTTCTTCCCCGGGGCCGCCTTCGTCATGTGCCTCTCCCACAGCGTCACCGTCGTCACCATCTCCGCGGCCCTCACGGGCTTCACCTTCTCCGCGCTCCAGATCCTGCCCTACACCCTGGCATCCCTCTACCACCACGACAAACAGGTAGGGATCTGCCCCGGCACGGCCACCTGTGGCCAGTCCAGCCCGTGGAAGAGGAACACATGCCTGTATCTAAAGGTTTTCCACCTGTCCCCAGGCTGTGTCTTCTCTGAAGACTCGTCTGAAATGGAGATGAGAGTTTAGCATCTCCCTCCTTAGGGATCCCCTGCTCACCACAAGCATTGTCCATTTTTTTAAAAGTGAGGAGTGGGTAAGACAGCAGGAATTAGCCAGGATGGGGTGTATCAAAAGGGGTGTTCCCTGTTCCTCTGTGTCCTGCATATTTTTAGGGAAACTGGTTCAGGTTAGCTACCCCTGTGTACATTCCTCAGCCAAGTCACATCTCTGCAGCTCTGCCAGCCTGAGGTGCTATAAAACCCAAGAATTTTCAGCCCTTAGAGGTCCTGCTTTGCAGCTTTTGTCCAGAGCACCAAGATCAGTAAAATGAAAACTGAGGTTCTTCCCATGCCCTCAGCTCCAAGAAAAATCAACCTTGTGAAACTTGTGACACCAACACAAAAGCCTGTAACCCTGTCCCACAGATGCTGTCCTTGTGGAGCAGTCCTAGGAAGTTCCTGAGTTGCACACTGGATTAATAGGAGTTTCTCTTGTGCTGCAAATGCAGAATTAATTTGTGGTTTGAGAGCAGCTCTTTCATCCCAGCAGCAGTGGTTGGCTGTGCAGTGGAATAAGTAGGAGTTGTTACCACAGGCATCCAGATGTTCACATTGAACAAATCCTCGGGACCGACCCATCCCAGTTGGCACCAGGCAGTAAGGAGGGGATGAGGGAACGTTCAGCTTTGCAAAAGCTTCAACTTGGCTGGGATCTCCCATGGATGAATTATCAGTGGAATGAAACCCAAACTCCACAGGCTGGGAATGGGAAGGCCACGTGCCCCACTGTTTGCCAAAGGCTCGACAGGGAAACACTGGGAGTACAATGAGTGAGGGGCACAGCTGGGGCTAGTCTCTCTGCTGTCATCCCTGGAAGCTCCTCCTTCCTTTACCCACTCCTTTGAGCTGGGAGACCCCACAAGAAGTCCCTAGAAAGCCTTTTTCAGGAAATCCTCCATCTTCCCCATTTCTGTTCTTTTTTCCCACTGTTGAAGTCTGTCAGCATTTTGGTTTGGGGTGGTTTGAAAGCCCATTCCTCTATGTTTAAGTAATTTTCTCTAGATGTAAATTAATTCTCCACACTAGATATTCAGACACACCTCCCAAAACTCATATCCCTAAAGTTCTTAGCCTGGATCAGTATAGAAACCAAGAAAATGAGGGACCTCCTGGTTTGGCTCACACAATGCCCTTCCTGTGCTGGGTTTGGAGTTGCTTTGAAGTTTGATGGCAATGGGAGGCCTGTGGGAGGATTTTTAGACTCCAGGAAGATAAGTGACAGCCCATATTGATGCATTTTAAGTGTGCCAAGGCTGCTGAGAGCTTTGGGATGACCTGCAGCAGAGCTGGGGTGCCCACATCCTGCACCAGTTCCCTCCTCTTGGTCCATGTCCAGGTCCCTCCTGCCCAAGGGAGGATAGTTCCCCTCTGAGCCTGCAGCGGGTACAGCTCTCTGATCCCAAACAGGTGCTCTTTTTTTCTGTTTTATTTGCTTTGTTTGTTCAATCTCCATGCAGATAATGGATTGACATGTCCTTGGTTATCTGCCCTACCCCCTGCAGACCAGGGGTTGTGCATAATTGCAAATACTCTGGAGCTTGAAAGCAGCATTTTCCCTGCCTGCACATGACTGCCCATGGTTTGTTGGTGTTAACGTGGAGAGCTTTGCCATCCAAATCCTCTGTGTGAATGCTCTGGAGCCAGCCATGCCCAGAGATCTCACAGCTTGAGCAGAGCCAGGCAAAAAAGGGCGAGAAGAAAAAGATTTTGCTTCCCCACCACCCCCCTTTTCCAGCTGGAGTGAGGAGGCTCAGGGCAGGCAGATGAAGCAACTCTTCAGCTCTGAGGTTTGTTGCAGAGCTGAGAAAAGAGCCCTGCCCTGAGTTCCCAGCACTGTGCCTTCCCAGCTGGTGTCACTTTGAAGTGTCCCAGATGAGACTGGCCACTTATCCAGGGCTCTGGGCTGATCATCTGCCCTCTGGGCTCTCGTGCAGGAAGGGTTTGGGCTCCCAGCCACCCACTCTACAAACACTCCTGTTTGCACTGGAGTGGGCTGTGTGGCTGTGTGATATTCCAGAGTGGACTCTGGCCCTTCACTCCTGCCCTGCTTCAGGTGATCTCAGGACAGGGTGAGCACCCCCTTGGCACCCACTGAGGAGGTGACAACCAGCACAAATTGTCCCCAGGCAGAGCCCAGTCTGGCTTTGGGCTGCAGCAGCCTGCTGAGCCCCAGAGCTTCAACACAGCAAAGGCCCCACTTGGCCAGGTTCCCCCGGTGAGTCAGGGCTGCTTTGAACCCCGTGCCAGTCGGAAAAAGCCACTCTGGCTCCTGGAGGCCACCTCATGTGGGCCAGGCTCAGGCTGGCACTCCCCACCCTGACAGGCTGACCCGACACACACAAAGCCACACTGGTTTTGCTGCCTTGCCCAAAACCCAGGGTCCCTCTGCCCCCCAACCTCGCTCCATCCTGACGTGCCTCCTTCCTCCCCGTAGGTGTTTTTGCATAAATACAAGAGCAAAGAGGAGGAAGACGCAGCTCTACTGGACAAGAAATCAGCCTTCTCTAAAGGCCTCCTCTCCAGCCAGAAGCTGCCTTACCAGAATGGCCACACTGGGAGCCTCTTCTCCTCCTCCTCCTCGTCCTCCCCTTCCTCCCCTCCTGCCGCCCCCAGCTCCGCTCTCTGCGTCAGCTCCTCCTGCGACGTCTCGCTCATGATGATGGTGGGGGAGCCGGACCCGGCGGCCCCGGGCAGGGGGATCTGCCTGGACCTGGCCATCCTGGACAGCGCCTTCCTGCTCTCTCAGGTCGTGCCCTCCCTCTTCATGGGCTCCATCGTGCAGTTCACGCAGTCGGTCACCGCCTACATGGTGTCGGCCGCCGGCTTCGGCCTGGTCGCCATTTACTTCGCCACCAAAGTCGTCTTTGACAAGAGCGACATGGCCAAGTACTCTGTGTGACGTGGGGGGCCCTGCACGTGGTGAGATGAGGGGTGTAGGTGCCCACATGGCTGCTCGTCCTTGTGTGGCACCCGCTGTCCCCGAGCTGTCGCTGCGGCCCCGGGGGTGGTTCTGGGGCCGGGGGCAGGACGGGGCTAATCTCAGGTGTAAATATGAGCCATCAGGGCATTGTGCTTGGGGCCAGCAGTGCTTTCCAGAGGTGCCTTTATCAAAAGGGAGCACGGCACAGGCAGCACCAAAGCGGTTGTGGCAGGGAGAGGAAGGAACTGGACTTTCCCTCTAATAACGGGTCGTGTCTGTGAGCAGGAGCAGCAGTTGGGTCCAAGGAGGGGATAAATCATTGCCCCTCCTGTTCTCAGCTCCCAGCTGTATCCTTCTCCCCCTGCCTGTTGTAGTTTTACCCAACTTCTTGAGCAATACTTGGGCAAATGGGACAGTGGGAGGAGATTTCCTCGGGGAAAAAAAGCCCAGATAGGTGGTGAAGATTTGGCCACGGAGCCAAGGGGGTGCACTCAGGTGCACAAACACTTCTGTCCTTCCCCACCTCAGCTCTGGCTGGGAGAAACCATCCAGGAGAAAAGTTACTACGTCTTGTTTTGGAAAAACAAGTAACGTTCCACTAGGACCAGTTCCAAAAGGTGACTTACCTTTTACCTATGTACCAGGTTGCATCAGATACAAAGGACTTCTGAGCTTTTTTTTTTTAATGATTGTTTTTAGCTTTCTTCACACAGTTCTCAGCAACTCTGACCTCTCGCCCCTCCCCTCAGTGCCTGGACCTGCCTCCTGCTCTCTCCCCTAAAAGCTCCAGCCTGTTGTGCCTCTTCCACACCTGGCCCCTAAAAGATGCTGCTGTACACAAGGGAAATATTCTCAGAGGGTTTTCAGTCCTGTGACAGTGAAGTAGAACAGGAAGAGCTCTCCTGCAAGGCTACCTGAGAACAGGTGTGCAAGGCCTGGGGATGCTGAAGGAATGAGGAGTTGAACTCAGGGGTGGTCTCTGCTGCAGTGGGTATGTGGAGCTGTCACTGCCTGTGGCTGTTTAGGTTTTCCTAAAAATCATTTTATTTCCAGACAGGACTCCAGATTCTTCTGAGGCAGAGCAAAAACCCAGTTACCTGTCAGAGTAAGGCAAAGCACCTTGTGCTGGGACCAAATCCTCCTGGGTTTTCCAGGCTGTTTGGCTCCCAGCTCTGAGGAATCTCCCACTGGCAGCAGAGTGGCTGCAGCTGTGAGTCCTTCTGGCCAGTCCCATTTCCCCATCCGAGCAGAGCAGCTGGAATAATTCTGCTGATGGCAGATTTCTACCACTCAAGGACTACCCACACACCAAGCAGGAGGCGAGGTCCTGGCCCCCAGTCAGCCCCTGGGCTTTGGAATGATCCAAACTCTGTGACAGTGCGGAGAGGGGAGGCTGAGCTGGTCCTGCCAGCGCACAAAAAGTCCTTGGCTTTGGCTGGGCCAGACAAGCTGTTTGTGAGTAATTTTCTGTGGAGGTGTGTGGGCAGCGAGATGCACTTGTGAGGTTCGGCTGAAGGGCAAAATGTTGCTATTTTGGCAGGGTCTTGTCAGCCTGTTCCTTGGCACAGAGGGCTGGGTGACTCCCCTGCCGTCTGAGACGGGCCCTCAGAGGGGCTGCTCAGCTCTTTAAAAGCTTCTTTCCCGTCAGGGGTCACTGTTTTTGTTTTACTCCTTCTCAAATTATATGCCTGCCAGCCTCCCTTTCCCACAACAAGGTTTGTGTGCTGAAATGCAGCTGTTTTGGGGATGGATTTGGCAGTTGCTTAACCACTTACGGAAACAGTTTTGGGTCTGTACTTCCCACCCCGGGCTCTGGCCACTGCAGGCTGGAGCAGGAAGGGCTTTGGGGCAAAATGTTACTGCCAAAGCTGGGGTGTTTCTTGAATGAATGATTTTTCAAGCAGGTGTGCTGAAGAATCCTTTATTTTTATTTTTTTCCTAAGTAAAACGTGGGGAACCTTCACACGTGGAGGCTGTTGGGGTGGTCAAGTGCTTTTGATAATTGAGCCATTTGTTTAAGTGCCTGAAGTGCTTGCACACCAAGCTTGAGGTGCATGGGTTTGGTGATAAGGGCCTTAAATGCTTCATTACAGACACCCAAGTGATAAAGCAGAGGGTTAGAGGGGCAGACAGCTGGGTTTTAGACAAGAGATCAGGGTGAGAGAGCAGGAGGAAGAGGGGTTGCAGGGAAAATTGGATGTTGTAGCTATGGGAGGGACTGGTGTGGGGCACTGGCTGCAACTGGGCTGCCCTGTGGTGGGTGGGAGCCCCTCGTGGCCTCACACTGTCCATAAAACCCTTCAAACCCCTTCATCCTTGCAATTTGTGCCAGCACAACCCCAGTCACGTCCAAGAGCTGGCTGGGTAGGCTGAGCTCAGGTTTGAGCTGGGCTCTCCCAGCTGCCTTCCCAAAGCCTGGGGGGGATGTTGCTGTCACCCCAACAGCCCTGTCCGTGTGCTGTGGGTACCAAAAGCCTTTTCTCCCTGGTTCAAGGAGGCGTTTTTCCCGAAATTCCCTTATTTATAAGATTGGCCTTTCTGGCTTCTGCCAGGAGCAGCTTCTCTGTGGGGATCACCCGTGGCCCACAAAGGGTGTTCTAGTGAAGGTAAGAACATCCCTTGCCTGCTGTCACTGGTGTTGCCTGTGAGAACACGGGGTTCTCATGCTGTGGGACCACAGGTTTGGGCACAAACTCCTTGGAGGTGGAGACGTGGAACTTTCCTCTCCCAGCTCGTGGGTGCACTGCTGTGTTCCTCTCACAGGCTAATCCTGCCTCACCTTTTGTGCCATGGGGGATTCTGAGTGTGGACACGGGGAGGAGGGAGGGTGTTCCTGTGAGCCTGTTGTGAATCTCTAGGTTAGGGAAGGATGGATGGATGGATGGATGCTGGTTTTCCTGTCGAGATCATCCCCTGTCCGTGAGACGTCCGTGTTTTATTTATTCGGTAGAGTAAATATTTTGTATACGACGCGAGAGGAAGGCTTTTATTATAAATTTCTATGAGAAAGGAGGGAATAAAAAGGCGTTTAAAGGGGCCGATGGTGTGTTTGTTGTGGCCGCTGGGGGGCGCCACCAGCGCGGCG